TGTGACTTAAGAAAATCAGTCAAGAGAGAAGCCTTGAGGCCTTTTGGTGGCTGTGAACCCCACTCAGCCCTACCCTACCCTCATTCCCACACCAGGAGTCCTGCTGCCATCTCTGGTCCTGAGTGGTGTAAGACAAACTTTCCTTTTGTCTAAACCAGATTGAGCGAATTGTGACCAAATGGTCCCCAAGACAAGTGTAAACTGTTAATCCTCACCTCCTCCTCTGTGTGCTAGGAATGGGGCTGGAGATGTTATTTAACCTCATCCCAAAGACCTCCCCACTTATATATGAAGAGGATAAAATTCTATCCTACAGTCAGATTTCGTCTTACTTACAAACAATATAGGCTATGGGGTATGATTTCTGAGGTGCCTCTAAGGACTTCTGCCCTCTTCCACCCTCCTGCCACTTGCACCACTACAGGTTAGTTCTAGGGCCAATGCGGTGTCTCCCTGGGGCACTGTGGCACATCCACACACAGCAGAGACACTCCCTATTCGTATTGGAGTTCTCACTGGGTGTAGGATGGCACAGGAGAGGAATTCAGCACATACTCCTGCTGGAATAAATAAATCCAGAAAATGTAGGTAGGACAGGGAGGTAGGGGTATTACATTCAGACCTGCTCAACTTCACCATTTTGAGCTGGGTTATTTTCAATCATAGGTGAGTTGTAAGATGACTTAGAAAGAACTGAAATTTTCTGAACTAGGTGACAGATTCTACATCTGAATTTGCAGTTTCCATTTACTTTTACAAGCATTAATGCCACCTGGCCAGGTTTATTTAAATGAAGAGGACCAGAAAAGTTTACATCTTTAGGGGAATTAAAGGGCATACAGAAGGAAGAAAAGAAAAAGAAACTTGCCAGGCAGAAAGGTGGCATTGTCTAAATCTCTCCCTCCTGCTTTCACTTTCCCTACCCTTGCTGTATTTCGCTAGTTTTATTGCCATCTTGACATTAATAAAATTATGATTTGAAGTTCATTCAACCCGATGAACTCATAGTTCATCTGTAGAATTGTAAAATTTGAAAAACAAATTGAATTTCTTTCTTCAGAAAAAAATTGCAGTGTTATAAATACAACTAAGGGACTGTTCATGTGCACCCTGTGACTGGAACAAGCAGATGCATGGTTTTAATATCTACTCTCGTGAGCCTGGAAGTAAGCCTCCCAACAGTAACCAACAGGGTTCCACATGATCTTTTAAAGCATTTCACTAATGAACCACCATCATCTGCACAAATTGCCCTGGAAAAAGGGAAAGTTGTAGGTGTTCCATTTACAAATAAGAAGATTGAAATTTGAAGAAAAGAGATGAGTTTTCCCAACAGTAAACCCATAACAGGGCTCAACACTCTGAGCTCCCCGCCCTCGATCCCATGAGCAATGTTACAATTTTAAATTAGGCTCCTTCACACAGTTAAGCCTTAGATTCTAACATGCTATGGGGTAGAATAGAGGTAGACATTTCACAAATGGAGATAGACTTAAAGCATATGGTACACAATACCTATGTACATACACCCAAGGCAAATCTATTTTTTTACATGGTTCATGGACAAAGATTTTAAGAAAAATCATGGCAGTCTCAGAAAGAATTTTTTTCCTAATAAACATGAGTGGGACAATATTCCACATGAATAGAGGGCTCAAGGAGTATTTCTATATGCTATTCTTGGTTTACTACAGGATGTGCGTATAATTGAAACTGTGTTGATCCACATCTGGAATTTTCCAGTGTATAGCCCATTGCCTAATTGGCCCCTTGAGTTAGTAAATGGTTGCTACTTTGATGACTGAGTTTTCCTATCTGTAACACCTTTTTTACTACATTTAGTTCAACATTCATTTTGAGAGGCAAGGAAAAAGCTGGACATTGGACAAGGTAAGGATGAAAAGAGAAGTTGGATAACAAAAATAAATAATATCCAGCCTGTTGCCACCAGGAACATATACCCTATTTGTATAAATAACTATCTTAATTGTACAGTAAATGAAATTAGATACTAGAAAAGTCAAATAAGCCAGGCATGGTGGCTCATACTTGTATTCCCAGCACTCAGGAGGCTGAGCCAGGAGGATCACGGCAAGTTTGAGGCCAGCCTGGACTACAAGGTGAGTTCAAGGCCAGTCTGAACTATATAGTGAGACCTTGTCTCTAAGGAGTTAGAGGAGGAGAGGAAGAGGAAAAGAAGAAAACTCTAAGATACCTGAATACAGAGGAGGTGACATGAGAAAGGTAGCATTTGATCTGGACCATGTGGAAGAAATAAAATGTCAGTGAAGTTGCTGCATTCTAGTCAGAGGAAATAATGCATCAAAAGTATAGATGGAAATAGGCTGGGAGTGGGGAAGTCAGAAGTACAGGTTTGGTCAGATCATGAAGGACCTTGGATTTAGTTCTCCAGCAGTGGGAAGCTATCAAAGGTTTTCTAATAAGGGAATCAAACGCCCTCCCTGCCAGCCCAAAACAATTTGATTACTTCTAGGAGAGATATTAATTACTATCTTACTTAAATCACTATATTTGGGCACTATATCAACTTCATTTACCCAAAAAATGCCCTCATTTTACAAGTAAGGAGTGTGAAGCTTAAAGAAGACAAGCACTCTGTTACCTGTTCTGTTGCTGAAACAGGATGAGACAAGGAAATTCAGGCCTGGACTTTCCACTGTCGAGAAAGGTGTGATGATGTCATTGATAGTGATGGTGGTGATGGCAGTATGATGTGATCTTTAGAAGATTTGCTGATCTTTAGGGGTTTTGCTTTTAAGCCTCCTTTTCTTACATTTTTCTATGTTTTAATGTAAAAACATAGAAGAGATTGTCCATGTAATCACTTTAATCAATTAACTGTGGATGATAATTTCCTTGCAACTTAATTAGCAAAGTTGCTTCCTGGGCTAACAGTACTGTAGCATCATCTAAAAGTCACCTCAGAAAGACAGAACAATTCATTAAAATCACTAATGTCTGCGGGGTTTAACGATGTTTATTTGGAGAATGAGAAAACCACACACAATGGCTTGCTGTCCGGATTTTCACGCTCTGTGTCCATGGGATGACTCACATTGCTAAAGCCCAAGTTTAATTAACATGCTTATTCTGTACTGCTACTTCCATTCTAACAAATTAAATATTTAAGCAGCCAGTACAAACATTTAGATCTGAGTCAAAATTGTTTGCACTCTGCCAGTTTAGGCATTTAATTTATTATAATCCTTTCCATAATACATGCCTTGAAAGTCATTTTTTGCACTGAAAAATATCATTAGTATTTCAACTGATGATATTGAATCTGAGACTATCAGAATATGATGTGAGAACTAATTTGGATGGTAGAAAAGGGCAATAAATGAGATAATAAACGAATTCTCATCTGTCTTGACTTTCCCAATTGACCAGGTGATAACAATGACAGGTGCCAACCCCCAAGCCTGCCTTTGCCCATATATCTCTGCTCGTGTTGCAAGTTGCTAAAGCAGGATGAAATAAGGATCTTGCAAGGCTCTCAAGCATTTCATCTTAAGCCTTTCCCTGAATTCTGACCTCTTCCTCCCAGCAGCTTTTTTTTTTCCGAATATAGGATTTTTCTAGCTTTCAACAATTTCCCCTTTCCTAAGGCCAAAGAAAGTGAAAATGCACTGGAAAGAAAAACTATAACAAAAACTCCACTGAAGCAATGCTGACTGCACTGATGGAGAGCTCAGGCAAGCAGCCAAAGCAACTAGACAGACAGATGCTCCAGAGGAGGGACCCCTTGTGGCCCCAGGCGACCACAAGGTGGCAATGAAAGCCTTCTTCACCCTGCCCATTGGCACCACCTTCCTTACACTGACCCCAAATACCCTTCCTCCTCCCTACCAATTCCTGGGAAGTGATATATACACCCAGATCTAAAGAGCTAATGGATTTACATTTTTAATAAACATATCTTTCTATTTTATTATGATAACATGGAAATGTGAAAATGGTTGGACATTCCCTCCATAGCTCTTGCTTGAAGAAAATGGAGCACAGTGTTGGGACTGAGAGAAAAATATTAAAGAGTAATAGATGCTGTTCATGCAGACTCTAAATATCCACTTTCTCATCTACAGAATGAGCATTTGGCTCCTCTGACCCCTGAGATATCTTGCAGAGGTCCCTCCAGGCAGAGAAGAATGGATCAAACTCATTGAGCCAGGGAGAGGGTGGATTTCCAGGGACAGCAGTTGTTATGTTGTTGTGTGCTAATCAAGGTCACCCAAAAGTGAAAACCTGAATTTGTTTACTCTCTGACTCTTTAGGCTTCCATTTCCTGCTTGGAAATCATTCAAGGTCTTCCACAAAATGGTCCAGGTTGTTTGTACCTTAAGGTTGAATTATCCAGAGTCAAGCCCAGTCAGATTTCATAATGAAGCTATATCTACACAAAAATTGGCTGGTGGAAGAAGGGAGGAAATAGTTGAATTCAGCCAATTTGTTATTTCTCAAAGCAATAAAATCAGATCAATGCAGCTTTGTTTGTTTTTCCAAATAGTGTGGGTCATTTAGACACACAAGAGGGTTTCTGCAAGAGCCAGTTCTAGGAACTACTCATTCTGCTAAATAAGAATGGATGCCTGGCCCCTCATCACCTGATTACTGTTTAAATGCCAGGAGTGTGAACTGAGAAATAAAAGACAAAAATTCTTCCTCATTGAATATTTATGCTGAGGCATTTTTTAATGTTTTTACTGCCTGAGGGTTGTAATTAAATGAGGCATTAGCTAGCTCTTTAAAACCATTTTTAAAGAATTAATCATAAGTAGAATTATGATTAAGTACTTACTATGTTTCAGGCAGTATGTCAAGTACATTATATCAATTCTTACTATGATCCTATAAGGAAATAACCACTCTTTTCCCCATTTTATAGATGCAGAAACTGGGGTTTTAGGGAGATAATGTCTCCTGTCCAAGTTTACACAGCTGGAATGCACATACCTGGCTAATTGCAATGTCCCAGCTCTTCAAACCAGTTTATTCAGCTCCAATTCTGTTTTTAATTTTTTCACAGCCTTTGAGGATGAGCCCTTTTTTCAGTAGGACCTAGGGAATTTAATCCATTTAATATTTATAAAATGAGACCAATGTATTCAAATTTGCAATGAAAAGCCCAGACTCCTCATAGTGGACCAGATACCAGGGGTCACTTAAGATAGTTGTCTGTGTCTCTGCCATTTGCATGACCTGGCTGCTGGCCTCATGCTCTGCTCCAAATTCACCACCCAAGGATATCTGCCCTCTTGGAGTTAAGAAGTCCACCCCAATGGCCTCAGCTACCATTTAAGTGCCTTCCCTTAGTGCTCAGCAAACACAAAGAGTAGGAAACTTTTCCTTCTGTGAATGACCTCAAGGACCACCAAAAAAATATACAATTCTGACACTGAATTTGAAGATTATTAAGAAAACACACAATTCGTGAGTCTAATATAGCTTCAAGAAGTCCTCCAGTCCTTTCTCTGCCTCCAGATAGGGATTGCACAACTAAAAATGAACTCAAAAATTACAAAATATTAACAGTCATCAGTAACTTTTGGAACATTCGCTAGAGCATAAAGGGCTTTATCAGTATATCAACTCACTGAACATTAGGGAAGGCTGAGGCATAAAGAGGCAGCAGTGGTAGAGCTGGAAACAGACTCCGTTGTGCTCTGAATTTTATTTGTTAAATCCCTGCTCTCTCTCCTTGGCCTAGGTTGAAATCAAAGCAGACACATTTCTGTCCTTTGGCTCTTGAATGTCCCCCAAAGATCCATGTGTTAAAGGAATGCTCCCGGGGTGATACTATTGGGAGGAAGTGGAATCTTTAGGAGAAAGGGCCCCATGGGATATCATAAGGTCACTGGAGGTGTGGCCTTGAAGGGGGTTTTGGGACCTCTATCCCTTCCTCTTCCTCTTTCTCTCTTTTGCTTCTTGACCATGAGGTAAGAAGTTTTGCCCTACCATGCTCTCCTGCCATGATATGTTGCCTCACCAGGGGCCCAAGCAGTGACTGTGGGCAGGAGCCTCCAAAACTATGAGCCAAAATCAACCTTTTCTCTTATAAGTTAAATATCTCAGGCATTTCGCTTCAGTGCTGAAAAGCTGATTAACGTACACTTGTAGTAAAATTTTGGACAAAGCACCAGAATGGGAGTTGGCACAGGTCCCTGAGTCACCTCTGTATCTAACTGCATCTAACTCTTTCGGTGAGTCTTCTCGCCTGGCTGGGCTTCAGTTTCCTCATCCTTGAAATCTCCAAAGTGCCCTTTTAATCTCTGAAATTCTAAGATTTATGCTTAAGGGAGATAATGGAGGAGGAAAAGGGGGCAAGAAAGTAGCAAGTGGAGAAAGCAAGAAACCAGCTGGTGAACATAACTACCCCATTCATTCTGCAGGGAGTCTGTACCAGCCAGGGACTTTTGCTTCCATTCTCCACGTTCTGCATTCTGCAGCAGACCTCTGTTTTCTCTTTAGCATGTTATTATTACACATTTACATTTTGCCAGTTATCTCTTCTATTAACCTGAGCACTCTGCAAAATGATTTGTCATTAATAACATGAACTGGCTTTTTCAGTTTAGACGGCAAGAAAGATATGAAATTGAAGGAACCATGTTATCTAGTGAATTTTCAGAGATTTGTTTAAAAAGAGTGCTTGTTAGAAATATCTAAGTGGAGAACTTCAAATCTTTGACAAAATATATATTAGAAATATTGCTTAAAGGACCTTCAGGGATTAAAGTGTACCAGCATGCATTGCTTGAAATTTTCTGATGAAATTTTGGCAGGAACCATATTAGAGTCTTATAACCACACTTATGAATGTCAGTGCCCAAATCACAAATGCTATCCTTGTTGGATACGGATTTGGAGGGTATTTTTGTCCAGGGAGATATTTTTGGCTTTATTTTTTAGCCTGATTGCTTGCCTTTTTAAAGACAAGCACAGAATTTTAGAATTGGGAGAGACCAGACAGATTATTCCCAACCCTCTTGTTTTACAGATGCGGAAATGGACCCATGTGAAGGAATGATCCCCAAGGTCCTAAACCACCACATACAGCCATCACTCAGACCTGCAGCTTGACTCCTACTCTCTCCCTTTCTCCACTGTGCTGATAGTCATGATCTACACAACAGCAAATCCAGAAAAAACAGAGCCTCAGAGGATTCTGACATTAATCAAATCTCTCTGAATGTAGAGATGGGTGTTCTACTTCGTTCATCAGAGCGCTCAGAAAAGGGTAAGTAGATCCAGAGTAGGAAACCTCTGTGGACCATGGGGAGTAGCTAGTGAGGGCTGAACGGATAACATCCCAAGGATGAATCAACTATAGGGTGATTATCTTAGCAGCAGGGATTTCTAGAGAACGTGCATCTTATAGAGACACTGGGATTCTTTGGTTCTGCAGTGCAGTGGGGAAAAGGTGGAATGTTGGTCACAGGATCCTTGAGTGTGAACCTCAGCTCTGTCTCTCACTACCCATTATACAATTATCTCCCTTTACCTCTCTGAGGCTCAGCACCCCCATCCGCAAACTTAGATATCTTTATGTGCTATGCAACACTGTGAATTTGCACATTTTAATACTGTGGCTTCCATTTGTATTTATAATGCAGCCGGCATCTGGCCAACCAACCATGATTTGTCTTCTTTCCAAGGACATAAGCAGCAAACTTTGACTTCAGTTAACAGGGCCTGAGCTTGGATTCCAAAGGTAGCCACAAATTCAGTGTTGGCCTGGACCCCAACTACAATTTTTTTATTCCACTAACCAGTTACTCTGCCTATGTTTGTTTAACTTAATTCAAACACCAGCCAAGCCAAAGGAAACACTGCTGCTATTGTAACAGAAGCCCAGGACTGACAGAGTGGAGATACTACTAAATATGCCTGACCCGTGGCTACATTCTGGGTGGGAAGACAACGCAGTCTGTCCCTGGCAAACTGGAAGGAGCCTGCCATGGCACTGGGTTCGGAATGCAGGCAAAAGACAGATGCTCTTCCTGAAGCCGTGCACCCTTCAAGACCTTGCCAAAAACTCAACTTACCACAATGGCCCAAAGACAGCCAAGGCCTTTTAGGGACACATCTGCTATCACCATGACTGTGTAATGTGCTCGATCCATAGACTTTGACTGCAGAGGATATCTGCAGGGAGAGAAAGAAGAGAGGAATAAAGGCCAAAGGGAGCCAAAACTCAGATTTAAAAGCCCAGAAACAGATTAAGAATCCCAGGTTTATTGTCAGAAGGATCATTTCTCCAAAAGTGAAAAACCTGTGGTTCAGTCACTAAACGAATCTACCTGTCAATTGGTTTACCTAACTGGACTTCAGTTTTCCTTCCTGGGCCTTAGTTTGATTGCCTGGGATGAGTCTTGGTTTCTCTCAAACATAAAGAAAGTCCTCGTTCACCCAGTCTTTTGGCCATCTTTTAACTCCAGAATCTTCCCAAGAAACATGCAAAAGAAAATAAACAAAATAATAAGTTGCCTTGAAATATTAATCAATTGTGCTTTCCCTTTTGTGACTCACTTTTTGATCAGTCAGAGGCATACTTGTGGCCTCAGGGAAAATTCAGAATGCTTTAGTGGAAAAGCCAAAGAAAAGAAATATTTTTTACTTTCAGGAATAGCTCTCAGAGTCAAAGCCAAGATTTGAGGTATGCTTTGAGGTATCATGACAATGACTTTCCAGAGAAGAGGCTGCTAGGTGAGGAAGTAGGATGTGGATCGGGGTTGAGAAGGGGCACCAGACCGGGTGGACTGGGAGGGCAACCGACGGAATAGAGGAGTCATTATGAGCAAGAGCCAGAACTGGAAGTCTCATGGAAATCACGCTATTCTTGATTCCTGTCTTCACTCACACTCGACATGCATCCTCTCCACCAGGAGACCCTGCCTTACCTGGCAATACATCCAGAAGCTAACCACTTCTCACCACCTCCACCCTGGGTCCAGTCAGCAGTGTCTCTCAACTAATTTGTTGCAGACCTCCCATGCTTCTACCATTGCTCCCTTCCATCTCTTCTCAGCAGGACAGTTGGAGCTGTGTGCAATGTGAATGAGATTTAAAAAACAAATTATTAGTACATGTTTACAGTAGACAATGTTTACATTCCATATGTGGAGTTGGTAATAACACATCTTAATTCCTTTTTTCATTCCCTTTCCTTCCCCTTCCCCCTTCCCTCTATCTCTTGATTCCCTTCCTGTTTGAGAAAGATCATTTCCCTACTTTCTATCATCTATCTGTTATTTTGCTGTTTACTTATAATGTAATATAAAAATTAAATTATATATGTCATATAAGAGAAACTGTGTGACAATTAAGCTTGTGTATCTGATTTATTTCCATTAACATATGGTCTCAAGGTATACCCATTTTCCTATAAATGATCCAAGCTCTTTCTTTATGGCAGAGTAGTACTCCTTTGTGTGTAAATATATTTTCATTATCCACTCATCTGTTGATGGATATATAGGCTGCTTCCAAGATTTAGCTGTTATGAATTGTGCTGCTACAAACATGAGTATGCATGTATCATTGTAACATCATGTCTTTAACTCTTTCAAGAAGATACCTAGAAGAGGAATAGCTGGGCCAAAGGGAATTTCTAGTTTTAATTTTTTGAAAATTCTCCATACTGACTTTCATAGAGGTTGTTGTGTGAGATTGTGTGACTCCTCTATTCACATCTCCATGACTCCCATCCTACATATAATGGAGGCAAAGCCCTCTTGGCCCTACTGCGATCAGGCTCCTTTGACCCTTATGACCTCATTTCCTCCTTACTGCTCCCCAGATATGCCAGATGCGCTCCCACCAAGGGAGGCTATGCGAGGCCTTCCCTCCATAGATACTCCGCAGACACCCACATGGCTGTCTCCTTCACCTTTGTCAGTCCCTCCTACTACTACCAACTGCCCCACAAACACTCCTGCCTGGTTTTCACTAATTGCTTGCTAGGATACTGCACAATATAAGAACTGATTATGTTTATCTCCTATTGTCCATCTGTCCCAGCAGAATGTAAACTCCATGAGGACAGGATATTTATGGCATTCACTGTTGTAGATCAAGGGCCTAGAAGAATGCCTGGAAAGTGCTCAATAAATATTTATTGAGCAAAAAAATGAATGAAGATCATCCCCACCATTAGAGAGCTGTCTGTGTGATGCAAGCTAAATGACCCAACCATCACTGTTGGGTAAGAGTCTTCATCTATAGCTGCCCATGGACTGTCCCTCAGGAAGAGCCCCGTCTGAGCCCAAAGACTTTACTGAGCCTCATTCAAACTTGCCCCTTGTAGATATTCCCTCATTAACTGCTCGGGAGGGTTTGGTCATAAGGGCGGGACACAGGCTTAATGGTGAAACCCACCCCTGGCTTAAAGTCTGACAGTGGTATTTTGTTCTGTTTCATATAGCAAAACTTTATTGAATGTGGAAACCAACAATACTCAGGCCTTAGAGATATTTTAAAGTAAGTCCATACCAGAAGTTGTAAAGAACTTTTATAAATCAATAAGAAATTACACGAAATCCAAAAGAAAATGGACAACAGACACTTCATAAATAATAATATCCAGATGGGCAATATACGTAGTAATTGTCTTCATTAGTCATAAGGAAAATGTTGACTAAAATTACAATTTAATACCACCACACACCACCAGATTGCTAAAAAATAGGAACAGGAAATTACCAGCAGTTGGCAAAGAAGCAGAGCAACAGGAACACTGGTTCACTGCTGATGGGAGTGTAATTGTTACACCTACTTAGGACGCCATTTATCAGTGACTACTAATGCTCAATGGTCGTACATCATAAGACCCAGTATTTCTTCTCCCAGGTATACTATGTCCAGCAGAAAGACACCCATATGCTGAACAAAGATATTAACTACAAGATTGACAGCACCACTATTTGTAAAACAAAACTGGAAACTACCGAAATATGTATTCATCAACAGTAGAATGACAATAAATGATGCTTTATACATGCAATGGAATACAAAATCATGGCCTATAATTACACACAATTTTGTGGATGACTCATAAAATTCGGACACAAAAAAGCATACACTATATAATTTCTTTTGAGTAAATTACAAAAGCAGGTGAAATTAATCTATGGTAGTAAAAGGCAGGAAGCCTGGGGGAGGCTCCTTGTACTGGTAATGCTGTTTCTTGATTAGAATGTTGTTTACACAGGTGGGTTAAGTTTGTGAAAATCCATCCAAGTTGATATTCATACCATGAGTACTGCTTTTGTAAGTACTGTGTATTATACTTGGAAACTTTTTTAACAAATAAGTGTGGCATCTTCCTTTAAAAAACTTGTTTCTAATGAGGAAGACAGACAGACACATGAACCACTCATGATGTGAGGCACAATGAAATAGGTAAAAGACAGAGATAGAAGCAACACAATATAATGGCCAAAGGGGAAGAATATTTTCTGACTTGGAGGATGCAATGCACAAAGAAAACTGGACTTTAGAAAAAATCGAAAAAACTCGATTAGGTAAGTGGAGAGCAATCCAGGCAAAGCTGCGTGTGCAAAGGTGGGAAACACAATAGAAGGCACTATTTGAGGACTGAGAAGAAAGCTAAGAAGGAGAGTTTGAAGGGGAAAGAAGCACCCCCACTTTTCCTATCTCATCTTTAATACTAAACACATCAGCTTTCCTCTAACTGACTTATACATAACTACAATGTATTCATAAGTATTGAGGAAAAAACACTACATTGTTAAAGGCTTTTAGAAAACATTGTGCCTTGGAATTCTCAGAGATTTGTAAAACATTTTGCCTTATTAAAAGCTTATAACAGCTTGCAATTATGAAGCCTGTTCAATTCACTGTTTCCCAAATTTGACTGTGGGATCTTTTCCCTTTCTTTGGCTAACTGAACACACGTTAAGATGCGATCTAGTTGCACCTAGTGAGTTTGTTGGAGTAATGCCAGAGGCTATAACAAAGAAATTCCCAAATCTCGGTGGTTTCCATGATGAAAGTGTACTCCCTACTCAAATGACACTATTAGTACAATACAGGTGTCACTGGTCAGTGAGTGGCCTTCCACATGGTGATTCAGAGCCTAGGCCACTCCCATACTGGGGCTTTTCCCTTATGTAAGACACAGAGTCCTCAGCATTCATGTCACCAGGTGGGAAAACAGAATGGAAAAGCGGGCACACTTCTTGACCACCCTAACTGCTGATGAGAACTGGGCACCTGTCCACAACGGACATAAAGGGACTTAGGAAATATAGCTGGCTATGCAGCTATTCTATTACATTAAAGGGAGGGCACACATTTTGCTGTAGTATACCCAGTATCTGAATATACTTCCTAAACTGTCTTTTTATCATCATGTCTTTGATCATGCCATTTATTTTGCCTAGAAAGCTCCTTTCCCTCCCACAAAATCTTTTCTCCAATTGGAAAATTCCTACACTGCTCTGGAGCTCAGAAGAAAGATGACCTGATCCATGAGCCCTTCCCTGACCTTGACCCCAATTCTCTTCTCTGTGTGACTACAAGACATTGGACAGAGTCATCTAAACATGGTGTCTACTTCCAAACAGAAGAGGAAAACCATATTGGAAAAGACTGTATTTCAAACATCTTCAAATCACCAGCACAAAGGGCTATGCTTAATATAGGCAGGGTTCAATAAATGGGAGAGAAAAGGGGAGGAGAGTAAAAGGAAAGGAAAGGAAAGGAAAAGAGAAGAGAGGAGATGAGAGGGGAAGGGAAGGGAGGGGAGGGCAGGAGAGAGGGGAGAGGAAAAGCGAGGAGAGGAGAGGAGAGGAGAGGACCATGGTTTATGAGATTACATAATGGGCAAAAGTACCCTTGTCCAATCTGTTACTCTGCAATTAAGGGTAAAGGGCTTTATAAGACTTTTGCTCTGCTTAGAAGCCCAAGAGTTAAACAGATACCCCTGTGAGCAGTTTATACTCTCATCTTTTTCTCTGAGTGTTCTTTATAGATGGCCTTTAACAGCATGCAAATTAGCACCCCTTTGCTTCTTCAATTTCAGGATGACACTAATGTAAATAATTATTGAAGTTCCATATCTGGAAAATGCCTGGGTTATTGTTTGGATCTGAGTGCAGTCAGCCTGTACTTGATGGTATGTAATTTAAAAGAACATAATTAAAATGGGAAAGAAAAATCTGGACAAGATACACTGCTATAAAAAGAAACGTTCAAAATACAGTCGCACATGTCTTTACTGATGTTCTCAGAATAAAATAGTATGTCTTGAGAAGATTCCAATCTTGCTTTCCTGCAAACCAGCGAGTCCTCTGACAAGCTATGTGCACCAGAGAAACCTTGTACACCTCCACCCAGGGAAACCAGGAGCTGTTATCCCCATCTCACTCCCACTGCAGGGCCCTTGTTCCTCACTCAGAGTTCAATTTGCACAGCTTAGGC